TCTCATAGATCAAGCACATGGAAGTCGTCCTCTACGTACATACATCACAGAGTTTGTTTATCATTGCTAAGGCCACTAGAAATGACCAGAGTTGACTATGTGCTTAACAAGAATGTGCAGAAATGTGGTAATTTTGCCCTACTCAACACTCGGTCTTTAACTGGGAAAGGAACATTTCTTCGGGACTTCATCTCTGACAATAACTGTGATATGCTGATGCTCACAGAAACCTGGCAAGCATCTAATGACTTTGTTGAACTTAATCTGCTTTCTCCTCCTGGTTTCAGTACTCTGACTAAGCCCTGAATTGGAGGCAGGGGTGGGGGCCTGGCTGTGGTCTATCGCCAGAGTCTTCATATTGAGCTGTCTCCTTTCCATGAGGAGACATCGTTTGAATATTTGGCATGTAAAATCACTAGCCACTCTTCACTGCTCATAATACTGGTGTATCGTCCTCCTAAAACAAGCATGCAATTTCTGTCAGACTTGTGTGAATTGCTGACAATTGCTTCTGCCCAATCTACAGCTATGCTATTGCTAGGGGATTTCAATATTCATGTTGATACTGATACTGTTTATGCTCTTGAGTTCATGTCTGTATTTGATTGTTTTAATCTGCAGCAACATATTGATTTTCCAACTCATGTACATGGCCATACACTGGATTTGGTCTGCTCTACTGGTATCGACATTACTGCCTTAAAAAGCTCTGACATAGGTATTTCTGATCATAAGCTGATTTAAATTTTTTTAAATTTTTACATTCCAAAACCTTGTTAAATCTTTGATTGAGTATCGTGCATGGAAGTTGGTTGATCCTCTGTCATTTTTTGCTGCACTCAGTGATTCCCCCCTCTCTGACTGCTGCAGTCTTTCCAGTGCTGAAGACATTCTTAATGTCTATGATGAAAGTATTTCTACTATTTTGAATAATTTTGCTCCCATAAAATCTAGACAGGTCCCTTCCTCGCACACTTCTCCTTGGTTCAACACTGAGCATAGGGCAATGAAAACCAAGGGCCGTCAGCTGGAAAGGCTTTATAAGAAAACTGGCCTTATTGTTCACTTCTTGGTATATACTGAACACATTATGCAGTACAGGAATGCTCTTAATGTGGCTCAATCATCTTATTTCTCTACATTCATTAATAAGTCCAAAAACAGGCCTAGAACATTATTTACTACAATTAAAAAGTTAACACAGCCACCCACACAGTCTCTAGTGGGCTCTGATCAAATGTGTGATGCTTTCCTGAACTTTTTTCAGAGTAAAACATCTCATACCTGTCAACACTCTATGCTGTTCCCACTACTGAACTTCTCTCTTTATGCCACGCTCATAGCTTCTCTAGTTTTGACTCTATTGTCCCCACAGGGGTTGATGAGATAATCAGGCTGTCTAATTCCTCTACTAGTCTTCTTGATCCTGCACCTATCTCTTTACTGAAGAATTGCTTGCCTGCTTTGTCACTACCCATCACTCACCTTATTAATACGTCAATGTCATCTGGAACTGTACCATCAAAGCTTAAGATTGCTGCTGTCACTCCAGTTCTTAAAAAGCATGGTCTCGAGCCTTCTTCCTTAAGTAGCTATAGGCCTATTTCGAACTTATCTTTTCTCTCTAAGATATTAGAAAAAGTTGTTGCCACCGGCCTTCTTAACAGCACACAACCTCTACGAGCCTTTCCAGTCTGGCTTTCATCCATTACACAGTACTGAAACAGCCCTGGTTAAGGTTCTTATAGATCTTCTCTTAGCTTCTGATTCTGGTGCTCTCAGCTCTCTCCTTCTGTTAGACCTCAGCTCAGCTTTTGACACTGTTTGTCATGAGATACTCCTCTCACGGCTTTCAGCAATTGGAATTACTGGCACAGCCCTTGAATGGTTTTCCTCCTATCTGACCGGGAGGCAACAATTTGTTTTAAACCAGAAACACAAATCATTTACCAATTCCATCAGTTCTAATGTACCTCAAGGCTCTGTTTTGGGCCCTCTCCTCTTCACCATTTATATGCTACCAATTGGACAAATAATTAATAATTAATCATAACTAGGTATGGTTAATTATTCATATTTCCCATGAGCTGATTCGTTACAAACGCTATGGGTTTAACTTCCACTGTTACACAGATGACATTAAAATGTATTTTAGCGCACCTTACACCTCAGTGTTTCCTCCGCCTGCATTAACTAATTGCATCAAGGAACTCAAGGCTGGAGGCAAATTACCATAAATTTAACTCTGCCAAAACTGAGGTAATTCTGATTGTGCCCTCCACTAAAGTTTGCAACATTGGTGTTCTCATTGATTACACTCTTTCATTCAATGGTCACATTGGTAAAGTAGTAAAGACAGCTTTTTTCCACCTGCGTAATATCTTGCGTATTCGATCCTCTCTCAGTCAGCAGGATGCTGAAACTGTTATACATGCCTTCGTCACATCTCAACTAGATTAATGTAATTCACTTCTTTATGGCCTGTCAGCTAATAATATCAAACGACTACATTATGTTCAAAACTCTGCAGCTCGCTTGATTACCCACACAAGAAAGAGCGATCACATTACCCCAATCACCTTCATTGGCTTCCGGTTTCTTTGCGCATAAACTACAAGATACTAATTCTCACTTTTAAAGCTCTCCATAACCTTGGTCCTACATATTTTTCTGACTTACTTCTGCCTTATGTTCCTGCCTGCTCGTTACAATCTTCTAGTGAGGGATTGTTAGTCACCCCTAAGTTTTGTCTGGTGACTATGGGATCTAGAGCTTTCAGTGTTGTGGCTCCCAGATTGTGGAATGCTCTTCCCCAAAACATCGGTCAAGCATACGCCCTTCTCTCCTTCAAAAACCTCTTAAAAACACATTTTTTCTCTGAGTATTACTCTTCAGCTCTCAGTCTGTAATTTGTACCCTGTTATGGATGTTTATCTACATTCTCATGTATCTCTAACCTAACTTTGTAAGTGATCTCTGTATATTACTCTCAGCTCTTGCTATGTGTTCTGTCTTCTGGTTTTGATGTTTATCTGTTTCTGTTCCTTAAACCTGACTTGTAAAGTGACCTTGGGTTTTGTAAAGGCGCTATATAAATAAATTATTAAATTTTAACACATTAATGGGTGAGCTTAGGGACAACGTTTTTGTGTTACTTTTTTACTCATTCACTGTGTTGATGATTTTAACACAGTAAATGTGTCAGAAAGGTTAGCACAAAGATGACCTATCCCAATAAGTTCTTAAAGGATAGTACGCCTACCTCGGTTGCTGAATGATTGAATTGTTGAATGATTGATTCAAAATACACAAAATGCACTCACTTATCTTATCGTCACCTACTGCTGGTGTCACCTCCAGAAGAACGAATCAGTGAATGAATTAAATGAATCAGTGAATTTAAAAGATTCGGGTTACAAAAATGAATCAAAATTCCTACCAATACATTTTAGTTACTGAGTAGATAAACGCTTTTGGAATGTAAATATGTTTTAATAAAGGACTTTTGATAAAGGGGTCATATGATGCTTTTTTAAAGATCATTATTTTGTGTATTTGGTGTAACAGAATATGTTGACATGCTTTAATGTTCAAAAAACACATTATTTTTCAAATACTGTACATTATTGTAGGTCCTCTATGCCCCGCCTCTCTCAAACGCTTAGTTTTCTACAAAGTCCCTCCTTCCGACAAGCGCAGTCTGCTCTGATTGGCCAGCAGACCCAGTGCATTGTGATTGGCCGAACACCACAAGCATGCGTCGGAAATGTAACGCCCCTTACCATAATCGCTAGCTTCATCTTTCAAAATAAATGTAAAGACAGAGCCCGAAAGGGAAACAGAGTCGCGTGACAGACACAGTGATGAAGCTGGTATGTGTTTGCAGTACAATAAGCCACGGTTAAGACAGCTGACTCCACTGTGATGTGACCCACCTGGGTCATCTTTGAGGGGTTTCATTTTTGGGGAAGTCATGGCCTAATGGTTAGAGAGTCTGACTCATAACCCAAAAGGTTGTGGGTTCGAGTCTCGTACCGGCAGGGATTGTAGGTGGGGGGAGTGAATGTACAGCGCTCTCTCCCACCTTCAATACCATGACTGAGGTGCCCTTGAGCAAGGCACCGAACCCCCAACTGCTCCCCGGGCACCGCAGCATAAATGGCTGCCCACTGCTCCGGGTGTGTGTTCACGGTGTGTGTGTGTTCACTGCTGTGTGTGTGCACTTTGGATGGGTAAATGCAGAGCACTAATTCCGAGTATGGGTCACCATACTTGGCCACATGCCACGTCACTTCACTTCACTCTCTCTTCTCTGTCTTTCTCTGTCTCACACACACACACGATGTGCAAAACTCTGCATTTGAACAGTCAATAGCAAATACTTAAACTAATAACAAAACAGTAGCTGATTCAGAA